AATTCGGCGTTTCCTAAAAAACTAGAATTTCATCGAAAAACCTCAAAAAGGGAGAGTTAGCGGTTATTATTGAAAAACTATATACCTCTTTGCTGCTCGAATTCTGGGGAGAAGCCGCTCGAGCTGATCAAGAACAGATTGAAGTCGGCGTCGCGTTCTCGATCCTGAAATAAAAAAAATAGATTACGCAATTGAATAGAGCAAAAATTAGACTAAAAACAAACCTGAAAACTTGTGCAGCACCGTCTCGCGCTTCCGGCCCTCGTCGCAAGTTTCTAAAAATCTGAAAACTGTTAAATACCTGGTCGAGAAGATGTGGAAGAACGGCGCCAAGACGGGCTTGTCATCAACGCGTTCGGGAGTTCCTAAACTGTAGAATTTGAAGAAAAAAAACAATGAAAAGGGGATAGTTAGCAGCTATCTGATAAAATTTATACCTTTGCTCCTCGAAACCTGGGGGAAGCCGCTCGAGCTGATGCAGAACTGGTTGCAGCCGACGAATCGATCCTGAAATGAACACATATGTTACGCCATTGAATACCGCAAAAATGAGACTAAAACAAACCTGAAAATTTGCTGAGCACCGTCTCGCGCTTCCGGTTGTGGTGGAAGCCCTAAACCCTGAAAAAAGTAGTTAAATACCTGCGCGAGTAGAAGTGGAAGGACCCGAAGGCGGGCTGATCATCAAGTCGTTGGGCGATCCCTAAAATGCAAAGTTTCATAATACAACAAGATTTTTCTAACATTCTAGAAATCCGAAACGCGCTGAAGTACTAATGCCAGATTGGCAGAAGTGCCGTAAACGTAAAAATGAGTTCTAAAGCTCTAAAAAAGGCGGGAAAAGCCCAAAATCAAACCACTCATTTTACCAATGAAATTACAGCGGAAGAAGATTTTACCTTTAAAACTGTAAAAAGGCGACGAACCTGGGCAGCAAAATTGGAGGACGTAGCGGGCGGCGCTCAGGGCCGACGTGTAGTCCCAGATGCGGAAGATGAGCGCGACATCTCCATGTCGTCTGGTGAAATCTGAAAAAGATGATAAATTAAATCCGACTAGGTCTGCAAGATTTCTGAAGAATGAAAAGTAAAGAGAGAAGTTTATGAACGTACACGTACCCGTCTAGTCCGCCTTGTAATTGTCGATTGTCGCGTTGGCCAGCAGAATCTCGGCTTCATGCTTGTCGTAGCACTCATAATCGATGCAGAAAGTGCTAGCCAAGACGAAGACGTCCTTCCAATGTTTCTCCGACTCGCGTGCACCATCTTTCGAAGGTGGTCATGCGAGTTGGCGAGTTGAAGGACGAGACGTTGAGTTCAGAAGCCCGGCGATGTTGTTGAAGACGTTGGGCGGCAGCTTGAGCAGCCAGGGGTCCGCGGCATTGGGCAGCTTTTCTTGCTTGTCGAGCGTTGAAGACGACATCATACCTAAAAAAAACAACTAAAACTTAGTCTTGCAAGAAGAAAAGGAATTAGATCGAAAACGGAAAACCTAAAGAAAAAGAAGAGTCTAAATAAGCAAAAACAACCTCTAATCGACTAAAGAAAACTATTGAAAAGGTTAGCGACAAACAAATAAACCTCATTTCCATTTAAAACGGTTTTAAAACCACATTTCAAAAAGATGTGGACGAAATCCTAATTCTTTTTCGAAAAGAAGTTCTATTTTCAACGGGCAGCGCTTCCAACGTGTAATAAAGTTTTCAGCTTAGTGAGATCGAAAGTTTTCGAAAGCTTTACCTTATAGCAAAGAAATCTTCGATTCTTCCGGACCTTCTTTTCCGTTCCCTCGTTGACGCCGACAATCCGCGAGAACCGGGCCGCTTTGCAGCTCCTTCTTCCGATGGTATTACCTGAAAATAACCGATGAAAAGGTGGAAAATAATAGAAAGAATGAAAAGAAAGGAAAATAATAAAGCGGACGCCATTTACACAAAGAATTGATCGGAACAAAAGGAAAAATGCAGAAAACCGCGCAAAATCGCTGGAAATGCTTCAAAAGCGCAGAAAGTGCTACGGGGACGATTTATAAACTAAATATTATCAATATACGCTCTATATACTAATGTATTACACACAGAATTGATGGAGAACAAAAAGAATAGCTAGAAAATCGTGCAAAATCGGTGGAAATAGTTCAAAAGCCCAGAAATGGCCATGGAGGTGTTCTATAAGCTATATTTTATCAATAAACGTTAATATACGACTAAAACAATCAATAAACAATCAATAAATCATATAAAATCGATCGATTAGGCCTTGGAAAAGCAAAATTCGCAAAAAATCCGCGAGCCTACGAACTTTCCAAATTCCGCCATTTCGTTAGCCAGTATGCGTACGTACAAGGCTGCGTTTTTGGTTTTTTTATGTTTTTGAGGGTTAAAAACAATAATTTTTATTGTTTATTTCTTCTGAGGCTTAACTGGCTTGCAGGGCATAACAACACATAAAAATTTATTAAACTTTATCTAAAACTGGCGCAAAATCACGCTAAACAAATTTCCTTCAGCAATTCGGATTCCCGGGACTGCGTGCCGAGGTTTTGGACGAGCGTGAAGTGATCGGAGCCGGGAATTACCTGAAAATGACTTTTAAAGGCGCGTTGAAGGCAAAAATCGCCGTTCTAGGGGCCGAGGGTCCGACCCCCCCGGCCGAGGCCAAACTTTTTGCTTTTTGCTTTTAAAATGGATTTGTCGTTTTAAGCCTATAAACGCACCTCCAAATGCACATCAAAACCTCTTTCCTTCAGTTTCTCTGCCATCTGCCCTTGAGCCGATTTTATCGCCTGAGTATCGTGTTCCGCCTCCAGGAGCACGATTTTGAGGTCGGATGATACGCCCAGCTCCTCTGGACGGCATGTACAGTACCAGGCTTCTTCGACGGTCAACCTGAAAGCGAGGGTTTAGGCTTAGGCTTAGGCTTAGGATAGACTAGGCAAAGGTTTAGGCTTACCCCATCGTCTTTCCGATGTACACCTCTTCCAGACCTTCGACTTGGTAGACGCCACAAAGCAGAAAGAGGGCAGAGATTCGAGAGGTATCAGCGAGCTTTGAATAAGCTGAAAATCGTGATGCTTTTAAGGGGACTGGGACACCTTTAAAAGCTAGATGAGCACCAGCTGAGTGGCCGCCGATGATCAGCTCTGTTGAGGGGAATTTGTCGAGCAGGACCTGAAAAAATTCCTCTAAAAATCTCGGCTAGCTGGCACCTTGAAGCGACTTAGACTTAGGAGTTTCTCCGCTGGACTGGCTTTGGCACTGGTTTAGGCTTAAGCTTAGCTTAGGATTAGGTTTAGACTTAGGCTTAGGTTAAGGCTTAGGCTTAGGCTTCGGTTTCGGCTGACATTTAGGCTTAGGCTTAGGCTTGAGCTTCGCCGTAGGCTTAGATTTAGACTTGGCTTAGGTTAGGCTTAGCTTAGGCTTAGGCTTTGTTTAGACTTAGCCTTAGGCTTACCTGCACAGCTTTCCCGGCGTCTTCGCAGAGTTCAGGTAGCGTATGGCGTTCCGAAGCGAATTCGTAGCCGACACAAGCCACAGCCACGTCTTCTGGCACTAATTGGCCCACCGCCGAGGTACCGTACTTCCGGTCACCTTCCTAAAGGAGCTAGGAAGCTTAGAAAATGGTAAAAAAAACCGAAAAAAAAGTTGGTCGCGCTTGGGATCGAACCCTCGACCCAAAAAGTAAAAATCTTTTAAAAAACCTACAATCCAATATCCGCCATGAAAGAAGACGAACATCCGCTTTCCGACTTGGCCCCAGACGTCAATCTGAAGAAAAGAGGCCTTTTAGATCGTTTTAAAGGGCCAGGGAACCTTCTGTTTGTCCATAGGCCCATAGGGTATCTCGTGGTGGACGTGATTTTTCTTGTTTTCGTTTAGCTGCATCTCCATTACTTCTAGCCACTCGGAGATGACCTAAGAAGGTGGTTACAGAGATGCTAGCAGGGATGCTTTAGGAATCGGTGATTTTGCTAGCGTAATCGATTACGCCATCAAAATTGACAGGCTAGGGCGGGCTAGCAGGGATTTTTCAGGAATTTCAGATGAAAACTAGTTTCCCAATTCCTATAGAAGCATCAGGAAGTTGCTAGCGTAATTTTATGGCCTGGCAAGCCAGTACAGATCTTTTGAGGAACTCGTGGATGAGCTGGGGCAGCCTTGCAGAGATTTTTGAGGAAATGTGGAGAAAACTAAACTTGGCAGGCTCTTTAAAGAGTCCCTAAATTACCTAGCGTAATCGGTTACGCCACCAAATTACATACCTTGGCCGGCTCCTTGCCACTTCCGGTATGATGGCTGCATGAGTGGGAACAATCTAATTCCGTCATTCCTTCCTCGTGACGACACATCGCGGCAGGCTAGCAAGGATTCTTGAGAATGTGAGCGAGAGAGTGTGAGAGAGATAGAGAGAGCGAGAGAGATAACGAGAGAGAGCGAGAGAGAGAGAGAGAGAGAGCGAGAGAGAGAGATAGGCAGGCTAGCAGAGATCCTTGAGGAAAACAAGAAAATAGAGATAAACAACCCCAAAAAAGAACCGGGCAGGTTTGATTGGCGTGACGATAACATTGGGGGATCAAGATCAGCCGTCCTCGCGCACGGAAAATCGATATCAGATCGGGCCATTTTGATAGCCTGAAAATTGAGAAGAGGCAGGCTAGCAGAGATCATTTGGGAGGGAAAAATTTTAAATTTTATAACGTAAGCAGTGCTTCCGGATCGTTGTGTTCCTCTGTGATCAATTACGACGCTTAAATACTCTGTAATTTTTCTTTGTGTCTCTTTAACCTACCGTAATCGATTATGCCATGTAATTCAACTCGTCTCGTCCTCATATTAAAGCTTTATTTACCCTTTTCTTTACAAGTTTTTGCAGGATGCAACCGAAATTTTGGGGCGGGAGGGATATTCAAATTAAGAAAAGGCACAACGCAAAGTACTGTAAAATTTTGTGGGCTACAAACTACAACCGAGACGAAAAGGAGGAGCGCAAATTTTTAAAGGTCTAGTAAACCCGGAGTTGTAATAATTATTTAAGTCGTGAGGGCCTATAAGTGAATGGGAGGGGAGAGAGAGAGAGAGAGAGAGAGAGAGAGAGAGAGAGAGAGAGAGAGAGAGAGAGAGAGAGAAATAGAGATGAAACGAGAAATTAAGAATAAAAAGTGAGCACTGACTGTTGATTGCCTCTCAAAAGGAGAGTCGGAGGAAGTCCGCGAGTCATCATCTCCAGCCACGAGAGGTAGAGGGAAGGAGAAACCATTCCTTTACGAGGAACCGGAAGCGTTCTAAAAATTGGGGTTTTAGAGGCAGGCTAGCAGTGATCTTTGAGGAAATAAATCCACCAAAAACGGATCTGGCGAGCTAGCAGAGACCCTTAAGGGATCCGCGCATGGCCCAGGCAGGCTAGCAGCGACTATTTAGGATTTCTCAGACTAGGGCAAGCTAGCAGAGACCACGTTGGATCCCTAGAGCCCAGGGCGAGCTAGCAACGATCTTTTAGGAAGCCTCAGGACCCGGAACAAGCTAGCAGAGGCCATTTAGAAGCACCGGGCAGGCTAGCAGAGGTTCTTTGAGGATAAAAACTCACATCACAATCAAATCCGCTCCCATCGAGTTCTCCTGCAGCAGCTCCCCAATCCTGAGCTGTCTGAACGTCTTGTCCCTCTGGGCTTGCAGCTCTGAGGGTGAGGTCCAGCCATCTCCTTCCCGCTCCTCTCCCTCGGCTACCGTATACGGCGCGATCAGGTTTTCCCAGGTTTTACGCCTGAAAATATTGGTTGGTGTCAAGCTCCCTTTAAAAAGGCATATCGTATCGATTTTTGATGTTACTAGCCCTTTAAATTTCAGTTTCTAGCTGTCACCATCCCTTTTAAAAACTCACGTTTCCGGTTTCGGCTTCTTCCCAATGTCCGACATCACCGACACGTTGCTGAAGTCGATTCTGAAAAAGTTAGCAATTTTTTGTAGCTCTCTCTCTCTCTCTCTCGCTCACTCTCTCTTTCTCTTTCTCTCTCTCTCTCTCCCCTCTCCCTCTCTCCTACCTGAACTTCGTCAACAAAGCGACGAGTCCTCGCTGCTCAGCCTCCATCGTATGTCTCGACGTCGAAATGGAGAAGACACGAAGCTTGGCGCCCTGAATAAGGATGCGTAATCGATTGCGATGTGTAATTTGGTGTCACCCTCCCTTCAAAACACGAAACCGACCTCCAAATACGATTTTGGAATCGTTAAGAGATGCGGAATCAGCAGTGAAAGCCCTCCATCATCATACAGCCACCAGACGTCAATCGTTCCCTCGCGAATCTTCTTCGAAAATCGAGACATTGACGTGAGGAGGGCCTTCTGCTCCACAGTGGTTCGACGAGACCTGAAAAAAAACACTATTTTTGAGGCTACAAACCACAAAAATTGTTACAGTAAGCCGGAGTACAAACTACAAAAACTCTAGACTTTGGACTCGAAACCACAAAAACGGGCACATTGAGCCAGGCAACAAAGTACAGAAATCGACAGGACGCGAGCTACAAACTTGAAACTACAAACGGGACGTTGGACTACAAAGTACAGAATGACAGAAAGACGCTGATAGTGAAGCTTTAAGCTTTAAAAATCGGAGCCCAGAAGCCAGACTACAGACTACGAAGCGGGCTACAGACTACAGACTACAAAATGCGAGATTTTGCGACATTTAGCGACGAAAAATTTTGCTTACAGACTCTCTTCGGGCGCCAAACTGATTTTCTTCAGCTGCGCCATCGAAATCTTCGGCCGGCTACAGAAATTGGCAAATACAAACTACAGACTACAAAGCTTGAAATTCAGCTTTTAAAGGGCTAGTGAAGGTAAATCCACGAGACCTGAACTATAAATCACACCCTAGAATCCCCACGCTTTTGGTCTAGGCTATAAACTACAAAATCTCTGGCTTCTAAAGGACCAGTGAAGGCCTAATCTAGCTCTGTGAGCGGTGGGCTACAAACTACAAACGTGATTTTCAAGGAGCTGTGAAGGCAAAATCGGCTAAACTACAGGCTATAAACCGCAGAAACGTCATTTTTAAGGAGCAGTGAAGGCAAAAAAGCTCACCCTCTCCGCCTGATGCTCATATTTGTCTTTTGTTCTTTGAGTGGGATCCGTTCGCATTCTTCTGTAGTTTGAGGTCTAAAATCAATGATTCCTCTACTTCAATGGCCCTTTGAAACTCACTTTTCATCCTCCGCGTCGAGATACTCGCCCTCACTGTCTGCTTCGGAGTCCTAGAAAACGTTTTTAAAGGGCAATTGAAGGCAAATATTTAGTAATTTTGGCTTCAGTGGTCCTTTAAAACGAGGTCAATCCATTAAAGGGCCATCGAAGACAAATCCATCGTCATTTCTTCCTTTGATGGCCCTTTAAAAGCCTAAAAACTTACGTCTAGGTCGAAATCGAACGGGAAATTCTCGGCAAACGATCCGGTGGCTGAAAAATTCAATTAAAAATGACAAAACGATGCTGCCAGGCAAAAATTAGGCGTCTATAGCGCACAAACGGCAAGGGCATGCTAGCAGCGACAATTTGCGGGGAGCTATCAGCCTCAATCACTTCACAGAAAATAGATGTTAAAGCGCTTGGCATTCTACCGTACCCTCGGCCACCTTCATGCCCTCCCTCATGAAGGTCTCCATCGACCGGGCGCTCCGCGACGGCGCCATTTGGGGTACTGTAGCTGTACATTCTGGGTCTGTCTCTGCCCCTTTAAACCCGAAAAAATGTGAAAATTGACTTACAGAGCGCGTCGTCTTCGTCGGCAGCTTTTTCCTCGTTATCGGAGAGTCGGCCCTTTCTGAAAAAAAGCTTAGGCTTAGGCTTGGCTTGGCTTAGGCTTAGGCTTAGGCTTAGGCTTAGGCAACACTCACTCAATATCCGCCAGCTTGTCCTTTTCCTTCAGGATATCAAACGACGCATCCGAACGGCCGGAGTTGACTTGTGGATTACTGTAAAAACGCGATTTTTCCTCCTGTCACGCTCCCTTTAAAACCAAAATTATCGGAATTACCGTACCTATCCTTAACGGGCCCAATCGCTTCCTTCTTCTTCCCATCGTGATGACCATTTAGAATCCTGAGGTTCTCCGAGAAGTCCAGACCGGAATTGTTGCAATTCCGCAACACTCCGACGCCCATACGGTAGTCGAAGGCGTCTCTGGAAGCGAGAGATTTCTCTCTCTCTCTCTCTCTCTCTCTCTCTCTCTCCTAATCTCAAATCCTTACTGAATAATGCCAAAATACTCGCTCATCTCGCCGATCATCTTCTCCGTCGGCTCCTTGTCCACCCAGTTGCCCTTGTAGCCGAGGATTACGATGTTTGGCCTCAATTTTCCAAGGCCAGCAGTCTGAAAACGGATTCGTCAAAGAATCTCTGCTAGCCTGCCCCTCCAATTCCGCAAAGAACCTCTGCTAGCTGACCTGATACAGCGCTCGAACGCCCTGCCGCATCGACGGATCCGCAATGGACGTGTAGAAGGACTTGGTCTTCTTCTTCCGCAGCCAGTCCGTCAACTGCCTGTCCAACTTCCTCAAGACGGACAGCACACGATCGGTGGGGGCGTACTAAACTCGAAACTACAGGGTATATCACCTAACTTACAGGCACGACGTAGCCGCAGACCATCAAGGAGTTTCCCTTCGTGATATTGCCGACAAAATCGACAAGTGAGGGCCGGGAAGCCGGGTTTCCGGTCAGGACGAGGAGCTGGGGTCTGGAAATGGGTTTTTAAGCTTTGAGCCATGAGCAAAGCTTTAAGTCTAAGCCTAAGCCTACGCTTAATCCATAAGCCTACCTGTAATTTTTGACGTGCTCCTCCGTGTTAGCCAGCTTCACCATCCCGGCCAGCGCGTTACGATAGCTGTGAGCTTGAGTGGATGAGCCCCAATTCACATCTGAAAATCCGAAATTTAGACTTCCCAAGGATCTCTGCTAGCGTGCCATATAGGTGCCTTTAAACCCACGAAAATCGCGTGCTTTTACCTGGTTTCCGGTGCCACAGGTAGATAAAGATCAGCGCGAAGAAGAAAAACGTCAGCAGGGCGGTGATCCTAAAAATCCCATTCGATTACGCCATGAAATGAGTAATGGAGAGCGAGAGCGGGGAGAGAGAGAGGAGAGAGAGAGAGAGAGAGAGAGAGAGAGAGAGACGGGCCTTACCAGCTGACGATGAACATGACGACGACGCACAGGATGGAGCCGGCGAGGGAGACCCACTTGTTGTAGTATTTGAAGCCGGGGCGGAAGCCTGGAAATGGGGTTCTCCAATCGGTCACTGCTAGCTGCCCCTCCTCAAGAATCTCTGCTAGCCTGCCCACCTGGTGAGTCGGCGAATGATTGATCGAAGCAGGCGTAGTTCAAAATGGCGTACGAGGCCAGGAAGAAGTTGGAGATGATCGGGGCGATGGCGTTGAGGTCGCCTGAAAATTTAGAGGTTGTAGTTTGTAGTCTCTGGATTTTTGTAGATTGCCGTGCAAGCGATAAGCTACAAGGTAAACCGTCGCAGCGCTAAAGCAAGGGTTTAAAGGGCCATTCAAGGCTCGGAAATTGACTTACCGACAAGGATGACGAGTAGAGCGAGCACGGCTACGAGAGCATAAGCTCTTCGTGGCTCTTCATCACGCCCGAAGCCCTTGCCAAAGTAGTCGATGCCCGGGAAGAGGCGATCCTTGCAGACGGCCTGAAAAAGTGGAGTTTGTAGTTTGGCGTGTTAGCCTTAGACTTAGGCTGGCTTAGGCTTTAGCTTAGGCTTAGGCTTGGCTTAGGCTGAGGCTTAGGCTTAAGCTTGCTTGGGCTTAGACTTATGCTTAGGCTTAGGCTCGGGCTTAGGCTTAGGCTTAGGCTTGGCTAGGCTTGGCTTGGCTTGGCTTGGCTTGGCTTGGCTTGGCTTAGGCTTAGGCTCCGGCTTAGGCTTGGGCTTAGGCTTAGGCTTAAGCTGCTTGGCTTGGCTCACCTGGAAAATCTTCGGAGCCGCTACTAAACTTCCGAGAGCACTGGACAGCGTGGCAGCGAAGATTCCGGCAGTGATGAGAGGCCCGAAAAGGGCTTGCATCTCAATCACCTCAAAACATCGTTTTAAAGGACCATTGAAGGCAAAAATCTACCTGATAAAAGTTGAGGAGCCCATATTTACAGCCTCCCTCTTCGATCGTGCAGTTTGGAGGGACGAAAAACCCGACGGCGTCCCACATCGGCTCCAGAATACCGTCAGCATGGCGCACGTTCGTGGACCCGGTGAAGATGACGATGAAGATGTAGACGATCGTGGTGGCGAGGATGGCCAGGAGGGTGCCGAGAGGGATGGCTTTCTAGAATCGAGTGTTTCTCTCTCTCTTTCTCTCTCTCTCTCTCTCTCTCTCTCTCTCTTTCTCTCTCTCTCTCTCCCTCGCTCTCTCCCCACCTGCGGATTCGCCAAATCTCCCGAAATGTTCGCCCCAGCCATAATTCCAGTAGCGGCCGGGAAGTAGATGGCAAACACGGTGAAGAAGTTCTCCTTCTCCCCGAATTGAGGCGTGAGATTTGCCAGGAAGGTTCGCACTGAAATATTTGACTTCAACGGTCCTTTAATAGGGCAGGGTAGCAGAGAAAAGTTTCTCTAAAAACCTACTGCTCAAAGCTGTTGCTCCTCGCACTTTGGTGTGCATCGTAGGCTCCAGGATCAAGGCCCCGGCAAAGTAGTCGACAATGGAGGCCAGAAGGAGCACGAGGAGCCCCATCTGGATCTTTGACTCGAAGGAGGTGCCGATGAAGATGACGGCAACCATGGTGAGGAGGAACAGCATGGCGACGATTCGGATGAAGTTGAGCTCGCTGGAAGGAATTGATTACGACGTGAAAATAGGTCGGTCTCTCTCTATCTCTATCTCTCTCGCTCTCTCTCTCATTCTCATGCTCACCTCAACATATCCAAAAATTCCTGCACCGGCGGACTCGTCAGCGCGTGCTCAGCCAGCAAATCCCTAATGGTCTCTGCCAGCCCCACCATGTACATGGCAGACCCCACGCCATTAGCTAGGGTGAAGATCAGCCCGATAGCTCCTCCATACTCCGGCCCAAGTGAGCGGGAGATCTAAAACAAGTTGTAGCTGTCACCACCCCTGCAAACTCACCAGAAAATAGGCGCCGCCCCCTTTCACTTCTCCATTGGTGCAGATGGCACATGTTGAGATTGCTGTGATGACTGTCACGAGGGTGGAGAGGAGCACGATCAGGATTCCGAGGACTGAATGGATTAGATGACGTAGTTTTTTTGGCCTAGGCTTGCGCTTAGGCTTAGGCTTGGGCTTGGGATTGGGCTTAGGCTTAGGCTTGGCTTAGGCTTAGGTTTAGGCTTGGCTTAGGCTTAGGCTTAGGCTTGGCTTAGGCTTGGCTTAGGCTTAGGTTTAGGCTTGGCTTAGGCTTAGGCTTAGGCTTAGGCTTGGCTTAGGCTTAGGCTTGGCTTAGGCTTAGGTTTAGGCCTGGCTTAGGCTTAGGCTTAGGCTTGGCTTAGGCTTAGGCTTAGGCTTGGCTTAGGCTTAGGCTGCTTGGCGGCTTAGGCTTGGCTTGGCTTAGGTTTAGGCCTGCTTGGCTTGGCTTGGCTTGGCTTAGGCTTAGGCTTAGGCTTGGCTTAGGCTTAGGTTTAGGCTTGGCTTAGGCTTAGGCTTAGGCTTGGCTTAGGCTTAGGCTAAGGCTTAGATTAGGCTTCAAGGGACAAGAGTCACCTACCAATTCCGGCCTGTCCGGTGACCCAGGAGATACGGAGGTACAGGATGACGCCGAAGATGCTCAGCAAGCACCGAACGAAGACGCCCTCGATCCAACCGAACTTTTTTCTGAAAAAAAGAAGGTCTATTCAATTACGTCATATAATGAAAGAAGGGGCTAAGCCTAATCGTCCACAAGAATCTCTGCTCGTTTGCCTCACCTGCCCGCTCCTTGATCTGGTGCCTTCAACTTCTCGATTTTCTCCTTGTCCTCCTCCCTGCCGGGCTCGTCAATAGGCGGATGTTGGTCGAGGACGTGAAGAGCTTCTTCTAAAAGCTCAAACTGCTTCCGCAAGATTCGTCTCTCTCGCTCTCTCTCTCTCTCTCTCTCTCTCTCTCTCTGTCTCTCTCTATCTCCCGACTTCAACGCACCTTTAAACTGATCAATTTCCAGGCTCTCCTCGTGGATCGGCTGCTCTCCATGACCATGGATCAGCTGCGCCATCGAGGGCCTATTGACGTCGACGGCATCGATGGAATCACGGTAGAAATCGATGATTGGCGGGTGCTCGAGGGTAGCAATGTTTCTGGAAGTGTCTGTCCCTTTAAAACCCAGAAAAAGAGCTTAAAAGGTACTAGCTAGGCCTATCCGATTACGCCATAAAATTCCCCACTTACCTCCAGCTCTTCTGATTCAACGTGTGCTGCCCCTCGTGCACCGTATCCGTCGTCTTCCGCTCTTCCTCCCCAGCAGCTCCTCCTCCCACGTTGAAATGGACATTTCGACGTCCGACCTGAAGTTTGTTTGGACTTGAGGATACGAACTACAGACTACACCCTATGCTACAGGCTACAGACTACAAAACCTACCGGCTCGGCCGAATCTAGGGTCTCGTCGTGCTCGTCGTGGGGTTCTTCTTCTGCCGTTTCATCGGTGCCATTTACCTGGAAAGGCTTAGGCTTAGGCTAAGTCTTAACGTACCGTAAACCTCCCAGTCGACACTGACGTCTTCCGCTCTAGGGTTTCTGATGGCTGTGGCGGCTCGGAGACGCTTTTCACGCGTCGGGTGTCTTCCTCATCACTTTCCGCGGCTGGGGACACCTTAAAAACAGGGTTAAATCGATTCTGAAGATTTTCTATGTCCCTAAAGTTTTAAACGGACTTCCTCGTCAACCTGTTGCACCTCGAAACGGGAGCTTTTTCGGGCACCCAACTCCCGAGGGGAGCTCATAGTTTGTAGTCTGGAGTCTAGGGAGTAGAGTGTAGTTTGGAGATGAAAGAGAGAGAGAGAGAGAGAGAGAGAGAGAGAGAGATAGAGAGGAAGGGTGAGAGAGAAGGCTAGCAGAGATCTTTTCGCACCCAAATGCAGGAAATTTCACGTCGTAATGTTTTCAGAAAGTTAGCTAAAGCTTAAAACATTTGTAAATGAATAAAATTAGGAATTTTTATGTTTTAATTGATTCAAATACGTAATTCTGGCAGCAAAAGTTCCGAAAAATACTCAGAACGGCAACAAGAGGCCCCCAGGGGCGGCCATGTTGTCGTGCCCTTTCATGGACGGGGCCCCCTTGCAAACGGACAGACGACAAAAAGAGGGACAACAGGGTGCGAGAGAGAGAGAGAGGGAGAGAGAGCGAGAGAGAGGGCCCACTAGGGCCCGCACTAGACAATTGATCCGGGTCGTTGCAGCTGGGTGGGTACATACTAGGAACCCCGAAATGAATGAAGCCTCACTAGCTTGTTGATGTCTCTCTCTCTCTCTCTCTCTCTCTCTCTCTCTCTCTCTCTCTCTCTCTCTCGCTCTCTCTTTCGCTCTCTCTCTCTCTGCGCCTATCAACGGGTTAATCTATAGATCTGAAACCCGATCTACCCATTTTTAACAAATTCCAGACGAAAAACATCATCTCTAGTGTTTTTCAGAATTAAATTACGTAAGCGGATAAGAATTTCTTGGAAAAACAACAAAGAGAGCCCCAGAATGTTTTTGTTAGCATCTTCTCCTGGCTTCCGAGCATACAGCGGCTACAATAACAAAAAATCTACATCTTGGTGAATCATGCCAGAGAGAGAGAACGTAATAATTATGTAGAGAGAGAGAGAGAGCGAGAGATAGAGAGAGAGAGAGACGGAGCAAGGCATAGAACTAGCAGGGAAACTTTGCCAACTTCCTGCGCTAGGGGCCAGCTAGCAGAGATTATTTAGGAATCAGAAGAGATCGGATTCCGTTATTTTCATGCCGTAATAGATGACGATAGCGAATTTCGTAATCAAAAGTCGCGTATTTGCGCTGGATTTTGTGCACAAAAATGATAAGGAAAACATAACTAGCTAGAAAACGCGCTAATAGGTCTGCAGAAAATCAGAAAACGCTTAAAATCAATAAAATTACGCTAATTTTGTGTAAAATTCCGGAAATTAGAGTAATTGGAAAATCTGCCAGGATCCGCCCGGGACCCGAGCGAGAAAATTGAGGAAAACTGGCGCCCGGGTTAGGCGAAAAAGGGAAGAAGGGGGGAATGGTGTGGAGAGAAGGGCCAGATGTGGCTAGGGGCAACCGAAGAGAGCAAGAGAAGAGAGAGGCTTCCTTCTCTCTTTTGAGGCAGAGGAGGGCCAAGAGGAGAAGGAGTGGGGAACGGCCTAAATCACCATGTTTACCGCCCCTCCGAAAATCCACGAATATTACGCATATTGGTGCACTATTTTGGCGGGAAATCGCCAGATTTGGCACTAGATTGAAAAATAGGGCACTCGAAATTTGGCGAACAATATTTTTAAAGGGCCATTGAAGGCAAAAATTTCTTCACAATCCCTTGAAATTGCACTTTTTGAAGAAACTTGTGTGTGGATTGCTGTACAGTTTTTAAAGGACCATTGAAGCCAAAAATCCACCTGAAACCGGGACGAGCTGCTCTTCCTCAACTCTCCCTCGGGCGGGAGGAGCTGCTCCTTCTCCCCGGGAACATCCAGACGGCTCGTGCTCATTTTAAAGGCACTCGGAAGGCATGGAGGGGAGCCTGAAAATTTTGAATTTTTTTGGTTTTCAGGTAGGCTAGCAAAGAGCATTGAGGAAATTTGAAGCAGACAGCACTCATGCCTAAGTCTAAGCCTAAGCCAAACCTACTCTAAGCCTAAGCCTAACCTTAAACTTAAGCCTATGCCTAGCCCAAGCCCAAGCGCAAGCCTAAGTTCTCTGCGCTTTTTTGCCGATCGTATCCTTCCAGTGTCAATAGTATCCAGGTGTTGTTGGCCACCCTCCGAAAAGTGTCTTGTCGTCCCGTGTTCCTTCCCATGGCTAATATGGGAGGCGAAATGGGGCGCGCGCAACACGGTCCATTCCGCCACTGTACTATCCACACCTTGGGAATGTACGGGACGATCGCTTTTTATGGGAGAGTTGCCAACAGCAAATTTGAATCAGGGAGAGAGAGAGAGAGAGAGTGCGAGCGAGAGCGAGAGAGTGAAAGATAACGTGTCCGTGAAAGAGAGAGCGACAGAGAGAGAGAGTAAGAGCGAGAGAGAGAGAGAGAAGGGGGAGAGATAGAGAGAGCACAAATTATCCCATTTTCATCACGATCCGGCTTTCAAGGCGCCGGGACTCTTCAAAAATCCAGAAAATGACTTGGCAAGCCCCCAAATACCTAAAATATGCTAAAATAGCTTTTTTAAAACCTAAAAAAACTGTTTTTACTTATTTTAAAGGAACTAGAAAGCCCTGGAAACGTGTGGAAAGCAAATATCTAAATCGGAATGAAGAAAAAAAAATCAGAATTTTGCAAATTCTATTAATTCCGCGGTGCTCCAGTTGTTTTTCCAGGATCACGAATTAATTTCTTTTGCAAAAATTAGGTTTAGAAGTTGCGAAACTCGCGGAAAACCATGAAAAGGCGGGAATTCGGAGGGGAAAAGCGGAAATCGGGAGCCGTCGAGTTGTTATCTTTCGGAGAAATTTCCAGGAGGGCTTTTATCAATACCGCCATTTTTTTTGAGTGGCTTTCGCACAAAAATAGACATCAATTAGTGGTTAATTAAGCTATTTAAAGCTTGAATTGAGACTAGAAACTCGAAAAATTTTCCCAATTCGATTTTTGCCGGTCTGGAAACACAATGAGTCATGGAGAAGCCCCCGCTTCCGTTTTGTCTACATCAATATAGAGACGCCCAAGAGCAGAGCGGGCCAAAACAAATGAGGAGTGTCGCGGAAAAACCTTAAAAATGCACAAAAAAGCGCCGAATTCAGGGGCGTTGCTCATCCGTAATGAATGCAGCTTTTCGGGCATAAGATCCAGCTCAAAGCATTCGATTACGACATGGCAATCATCCAAAAATGTTTCAAAACAACAATAAAACAAGAAAAATTCATTTTAAGGGGCCGTTGAAGGCGAAAATTGCTATGGATGTTGTAGATCTTGACTTCAAGGCCCCTGTAAAATGCCATTGCTGATCATGTCGTAATCTACTAACTCTTAGAAGCTATAGAGACTGGTTTTAAGCCGCTTAAAGGACCATTGAAGGCCAAAATTGGGGAATTTCGCTTCAATGGCCCTTTAAAATGACGTAAATCAGGTCTATAAGGCCGATATCTCCCGGTCGTAATTGCTTGAGCAGGAAAAGCGTTAAAAAGTAGAAAACTACAATTTTGAGCATTCTAAAGGACCGCTGAAAGCAGTATATCGATGGATTTTGCCTTTTAAGGTTCTTTAAAATGATATAGCACCGCCTAGTGAGGTCAATATCCATGTTGTGATTGAATAGGGCCCGGGGGGCTAACAGTGGGCCCCCGTTCACCCAGCTGGTCACATTGTTGTGTAAAACGAGAGAGGGCCCCAGGCGAGAGAGAGCGAGAGAGAGAGAGAGAGAAGTGAGAGAGAGAGATAGAGAAAGCAGTTCATATATTTGCACATCCTTCATAGCCTCAGAGACATGCCGCGCGCCACACTTCAACAGGCTTTTCGTGCTTTTGCAAGGGGGCGTTTTGACTGCTATGGACTTTGACGTCGCCGGTTCGACCCCCGGCCGCGGAGGTCAAACAGCAAAACGTGGATTTTTTGCGCTTTTTGACGTAGTGCACTTCAAAAAGTCAAAAAGCAAAACTTAGGCGCCGGGCGGGGTCGAACTCGAGCTCAAAAGGAATGCGTCTGACGTCGCAGACTCAAATCGTGCTCAAAAATGGCGGAAAAATCAAAACCGAGCCTAAGCTTAAGCCAAGCCTAAGTCAAGCTTAAGCCAGGCCATGCCTTAGCCCAAGCCTAAGCCCATGCCTAAGCCCAAGCCAAACCAAAGCCAAGCGGAAGCCTAAAAACACCTAACTGCCCCGGGATTTTAGTGTTTTTTTTTGTTGTGCAGTGAGAAAGTGAGAGCGAGAGATAAGGAGAGAGAGAGAGAGAGAGAAAGCCAGAAAATCGCTGTCCCGAGCCCTTGAGTGCCACCCAACGGGCTTCTTCCCCCCGGCTATTTCTATTTTTTCGGCGAGCCCCGATGGGTTATATTGCCCCCGGGGCGGCTGTGCGTCTCTAATCCTCCAAAAATCAGTCATCTCTATTCTAAATCTACAATTGAATAAAACGCAGAAATCGAAAATTTTGAAAATGGAAAATTCCGGAAGCGCTCTTCCGAGGAAAAGCCATCAAAATAAGCCTAGGATTAGAGAGAGGGAAACGACGTCTTTAAAGGGGTTTAGAAGCAAAAAATAAGACAAAGCGGCAATCAGGAGGGGCAGGCTAGCAGAGATTCTTTGAGAAATCCGAAAATTCGCAACAGCCTGGGCAAAAAGCTGCCGGAAGTATAGCTTGACCCGGCAGCCTGGAGGCTTTTTGAACGTTTTTAGCCTCTCTATCCCGCTCTCTCTCTATCTCTCTCACTCTCACGCTTTCTTCCCTGCTCTCTCGCCGCCTCAAAAATATTTCTTCGCGACTGGTCAACAAAAACACCTGCCCCGGGGGAATGGCCCTCAAAAAAGCGAAGGATGCTCAATATTTTTTGAGTGGCCGGGAATATCCAATTTCTGGGCCCGAAATTCTATTCGCAGAAAGAGAATAATGGGTTGGGATTAGGCGTGGGCTTAGGTTTAGACTTAGGCTTAGGCTTAGGCTTAGGCTTGGCTTAGGTTAGGCTTGGGCTTAGGCTTAGGCTTAGGAGTAGGCTTACGTTTGGGCTTAGGCTTAGGTTAGGCTTAGGCTTAGGCTTAGGGATAGGCTTGGAAACACAAGAAAAGCAAGGTAATGTGAAAATGATTACGATTTTCACTTCAATGCCCCTTTAAAACTCATAGATTTCCCTTAAACAGCCCTTTAAAAACTCTAAGCCCTAAATCTCGAGTAAAATCTGAGAAACAACGACCGGTGAAAATTGGATTTGTGCCCTGGGGGGCTATGCAGGGAGCAGCAGCCCCCGGTGAGGCCCATCCAAGCTGAAAAAGGGATGAGGAGCGAGAGAATGGGAGAATTGAGCAAGAGCAGACATTGAAAGAACAGGAAAAGCGGAAAAGCATGGGATTGACCTCGCGAATCCCCAAGCACGTAATTTGACCCGCCGGGGGGAGGAAGCGAGGCCAAGTAAATAAATGCCCCCAGGGCAGGCAGGTTAGCAGAGATTTTTGGGGGAAGTGGGGCATTAATGGGTGGTTTTAACCTTAGACTAAATATCTTATGTTTAAGAACCCTAAAAATTCTACCTAAAGGGCTGTTGAAGGCAAATCCATAGCTCCCACGGGGTTTTTTTGGCACTGGAAAACTAGCAGAGATCATTTAGGAAAAAACTTGCTGGAATTATTGTTTAACGGTCTGATAAGTCATAAAAGGTAGGCAAACTAGCCGAGATCGTTTAGCAGGGCCAGGCATTCTAGCGGAGACCATTTAAGATGGAAAACCGCGCGGGTATGCTAGCAGAGGCCATTAGCGAAATAGCCTGAACTTTTAAAGGCACCTGCAAGTCAAAAATCGATGAATCCAATAAGACTTTAAAGGACCATTGAAGGCACGAAACTACCCGTTATCAGTGGACTGAACAGCATGTCTGTTAGTTTGTCTGATCGACTGTCTGTCTGTCGACTATAAAATGACCGTCCTCCCCCTCCTCGTCCATTCCCTCATAGTGAATAGACGCGTAATGTTTGCCCTTCGAGTTTTGGGGCTTTGTCCACCTCCGCCCTCCCTTCGCAACCACATTTGCTTTCACTGGGGCCCTAAAGTGAGCCCATTCAAAGGGGGGAGGGCCAACTTGGGGCGCAAATGGCCTCTGCTAGCTTGCCCCGGGGTGGAATCCGCTTCTAAATGGTTCCTGCTGGCTTTCTCCCTCGTCTTTTGGCTACCGGGTACCTTTCAAAGACGTTTCTGTAGGCTCAAATGATCACTGCTAGCCTGCCTAGGCCCAAATCGACCTCTAGAAGTTCCTAATGATCTCTGCTAGCTTGCCCCCCCCCTGTTTTTGACTTCCAGACTTCTTTAAAACACACCAGGCAGTTGATACTCCCTTTAAATGGTCTTTAAAGTTCCTTTCGACACCTCTGTACACCTGGCCGCCTCGATGTTGGTCCCCTGATAGCGGGATTCGGGCAATATCGGCCCCCGCGGAGGGGAGACTGGCCATCAATGGGCCCATAAAATGCCCTCCAGCGACGAACAGGCGTCTGGATGCGAGAGAGAGAGAGGGAGAGAGAGAGAGAGAGAGAGAGACAAAACCAATGCTCTCTGCAACATCACCCCTGGCTTTTTCCACACTCGATCACTCGATTTATAGCCTGACATGGGCGAAGCGACACGTTGTTCCCTGCGGCGATTTGGAGGTGTTGGGGCTAAAAAACCAAAGGTAAGCCTAAGCCTAAGCCTAAGCCTAAACCTAGACCTCAGCCTAAGCCCAAGCCTAAGCCTACGCCTAAGCCTAAGCCCAACCCTAAGCCAACTAAGTCCACTAATCTTTAGACAGCTAAAGACGTTACTTTATTCCATTTTAAAGGCCCATGGAAGGCAAAATTCCATAGAATTCGT